TTACTCTTTTGGTTAGTATACTGATTAGTCACAATAAATCTCATTTATTGGAAATGCTTACCTTTATTTGCAATCAAGCCATATGTTTACCTACGCTGTTCCCAAAGTTAAATACCATGGTTTCTTATAATGCATAGCACAAACTTGGAAAATTCACTTTACCAAAGTTTAGAAATTTTTTTCTAAAAATAGGTTCTAAATTGTAATGCCAGAGTCATGTTTTCTTGTCTTTTGGATGCCACTAAATCACAGTTTAGTATCATGAAAGTATATTGGATTTTACACAGCTTACTTTACAGGCAAAAATTGTGAACATAACTCTTTTTCAATAGATACAAAAATCTAATAGTAAACTACCCCAAAGGATGGATAATTTATATTGCTTCTTTCAACAAAAGAAGCAATAAAACTATGACTTATGAGAACTAGACTACCTCGAGAAATTAAAAGAAATGAAACACTGAACAACAACAAAAACAACAGTAAATATCATCTGCAAATAGAAAATATAAACTTTATACTGCCACAATTAAATAAATCTTTATATATGTAGGGAAAAAATACTTCAGCAGAAAATTCTTAAGTAGTAATGATTTGTAAAATAAATACATGACTACAGTGCATCTAAAGATACACACATAAGCATTTTAGAAGCAGGCTGTAGGTCTTGCTGTGATACAGGGAAATATTTTGGCCATCTAAAAGCATTAGCGTTATTGATTAAGACCTCACGCAAGTGGGATATAATGAAACTTCCTCTTGATGTCTAATTTATAGAATTGAATTTCTGGGGTATTTATTTAAGAAGTAGACTGTATTATTTAATGATCCTTGCCTCTTATCAGTTCAGATATTATTATATTTGCAGTTCTGTGGATATAAATATAATATGCTAACCTTTTTTGGGTTTTGATAGCTATTAATAGTTTTCTCTGGGTAGAATTAATTTCTTCATTCCCAAATTGATATGCCTCATCCCAAACAGGCTCTTCTATGGAAGAAAATAACTTTTCTATAACTCTGATGAAGTTGACTAAGGACAACTGAATTAATAATTACATTGGAAGACTAGAATGACCATGAAGAATGGCAAAACCATTACTTTAAAATATATTCTATTTCTAAACTTTCTAGTAATAAAAAGAGGAGATATTATTGCAAGTCATTATTACTACCCTTGGTAAAAATTTTCAGAAACCAATAACGAGTAATTCTACATTTGTTAGCAAATGATATGGTACAACGAAACATCTATCAAAATAAAAATGAGGTCCACATGCACATAGAATCAACTCTTTATCATAAGTATCATTAGAAACTACAGAGTCCCAAATGAAGTCTTTGGGTAAGACTTTAAAAAAAAAAAAAGAATAACATTTTAAGTGCACAGCTATTACAAAGTCATTTGATATTTGTTTTAATTGCCGTGACTATAATGAATATACTTTGTATTCAAACATATGTCGCAAGTACTACTACAGAAGTTCCAATATAATTCAGTCTTATTTAAGGATGAGTAAATGGATATTTAAAATTCAATGTTACCAGAAACGGGGAAGAAACCAATTACAACACCAACTCCCTAAAACAGCAAATTAAAGATTTTTATTAAATTGTGTTCTTTCTTATTTGGACAGAGACCGAACATTGTAACACAGAAAAACCTGCTATGCTAACCAGTCCTTTCCCTTGCCTCAGCTGTTTCACAAAAATCTGGAGTGTGAAAAATGACCGAGAAGGGCAGGCTGAAATTCACTTGACATTATTTAGAGACTGGTCTATGACAAAGATTTAAGAAACACTACTGTGTCAATTTGTGTTAGCTGAAGGATCGGGTAATTATGTCAGCCATTGCACTGCGATTGGTTAGACAAGTTCTAATATTCCTTTTAATCTTCTCCCGCTCGGAGGACCTGACACCTGATAATCTAACGTGAGAAACCTTCAGGCCAGAAGTGAGATGTGGTGTTTGTCACCGTGTTCAGAGAATTACCCAGGGATGTTTGTTGAAAGCAGACGTTCAGGGGCTCCAGCTGAGTTCTGGCAAGAAGCACTTTGACAAGCTACCTATAAGCCCTGAGGTAGTGTTCATGCCTGTTTAAAAGCAACTGCCTGAAGGTCAGATGAGGTCATATTTAAAACTACAGATTTTTCCTTTCATCCCAATCAGTAAATATTTATTAAGTACCAGTGCTATGTGAGTGAACATTTGATACCTATCAGATGTCCAAAAAGGCAAGAGGCATATGATGTACTCATTGTCAAGGGAAATTTTTGAAGTATAACAATGATCTACAACTATCTAGAGACACATGTCCGAATGTCTGGAAATGCAAAGCAAACAGTATGTTTATTGTGCAGATGAACAACTCCTTCTTCATTTCAATTTAGCAGTTCTTTCCCTGAAAACGTGTCTCGAAGCTAAAGTTGTATTTAGCTTATTATTAGAAAAGTAAGTGAAGTGCTGTTTAAAATTTAGCCTGTTCTTCTGAGGTCTGGGACATCTCATGTTTTGAAAAGGAGGGTGACCATGTGTGAGGCTGCTTGGTGGCTGGGGGCAACACAGAGGGTCTCAGTGAGGGAACACAAGAAAGAACTTCAAGACCAAAGCACTAAAGGCAAATTGGTTTTCTTACCTCCAACCTCATTCTCTAGGTCCCTAACTATAAGTTAGACCCGTCTGGAAGTTGCATTGTGTTTTTTTAACCATCAGACCAAAACTGAAAGAGTGAAGGTTGACTCTGGAGTTTAATAGAATAGCAGAAAATAAAGCAAACGGTACCAAGCTATTTTTGTGGTCAGCAATTTCCCCTCGTCTCCCTCCTCACCCCAGAACTGGAGACGAATTGACGGAAATCTTAGAATGAACCTCAATCAAGGGCCCTCACTCATGAAACGGAGTGCAGACAGGCTGATGAGATTCATTCATTGGGCCCAATGCCCTGGGTTTTTAGAGTCTCTGGTTGACTCTTAGCATGGCAAACAGGCTCCTGCAATGGCGGCTTTGGCTTGTAAAGGGGACAAGGAAGACAGCTGGGCTGTCAGGACCTCAGAGGTTGTCCATTGCCCACAGCAGCGCTTCTCAAAACATGGTTGCCAGTCCAGCAATGTCCGCATCACCTGGGAACTCAGTGGATGAGTCTGCTCGCGCTGCCATGGCGGACAAGGCTCTGGCTTAAATAACAGGCGTTTATTTTCCAACAGGTCTGGGGGCTGGAAGTCCAAGACCAAGGTGCTGGCCAGTTTGGTGTCTAATGAGAGCTCTCTTCCTGGCCTTCTCACCGTGTCCGCACATGGTGGACAGAGACAAAGAGCTCCCTTGTCCTTTCTATAAAAGGCCACCGATCCAATCCGATTAGAAACCCAGACTTATGACCTGATATTTAAATATCTCATAAAAGCCCTACTGCCAATATAGTCGCACTGGAAGTTAGGGCCTCAATGTATGAATTTTGGCGGACACAATGCATTCCCTAGCACGCCTGGCAGACGCGAACCTGCACGTCGCAGCTCCGATCTATGGAATCAGAAACTCGGGTATGGGGTCCAGCAGATTGTTTTATTTGTCTTTCCAGGTTATTCTAATGCCTGTTAAAGCCCAAGAGGCCTGGGCCTTCGGGAGGAAGCCCCAGCTCCGCAGCAGGGCATTTAGTGTCCCCCGGTTTTGCTCTGCTGTCTGTTCCCTGCTGCACTTCCACATGAACTCCGCTTTCGCTGAACTGGGTCCCACCGTGGCCTGAAGGGCCACTTGTGTTCTGGCCTCTGGACTTCCGCTCTCCCGCCTTCGCCCACCTCAAGCCTTTCTGCCTCTTTAGTGAAGCATCACTTTGACCTCCCAGCCGCAATCACCTCTTTCTCCAAAGAGCAGCAGCTCTAATTGCCTGAACCAATCATTTTTGTAGTTGACAGAGTTTACTTTCTTGGAGCCCATGGGTTACACTCATCTGTAATTTTAGCACAAGGCTTTGTACATAAACAACACTCAAGTCTTCATTATACTGAGTACTGTGCTGCTCCTGACTCTCCTCTGGAAGCTGCTCCTATAACACCGGCTCCAACACAACATGATTGTGACCATCACACAGCCCACTGCTCTCTGACATAATGCCACTTCCAAAGTTGCTTAGTATTAAAAAAAAAATCAATATACTATTTGCTATTTATTAAGTCCTTACATGCGTCAAACCCTATAATAAGCACTTAGCATATTGGCTATTTACATTCTCACAGTTACCCTGAAATAGGCATTCTGACTTCTTGTTGACTGAAAAGATGGTGTGAACAGGGAGGTGTGAGCTCACTGAACTCCCCAGAAGTCACACCCCTGGGGGGTGGGGAGGCTGAGCACCTCTGTGTCTCCAAGAGCATCCTTTATTCCCCATTACACCAGAGACTGGGTTTTCTGTCAACACAGGGAACTTACTGCCAAGAACCCCAGACCAGAAGGCTTTTGGAATAAAGATATTTCCAGAATATCTACTTGCTATACCCTTAACGCACACACTCATGTACACATACCCTCTGAAGCATTGCTGAACGTTGGATTTCTTGCGACAAGCGGATGCTGTTCAACAACTACAGACGACAGGAGCTCCCAGTTCCACCGCGTTTCTACATGCGGCTCACCTGCAGCAAGCCTTCAGCACGCCGTCACGTTTACATTAAAGACAGCTGAGAACTCAGAGGGACTGGCTGGAAAGTGCCCAAGGAGTCTCACAAACACGCGCCCAATGCAACTACACTCTCTCACACACATACATACATATGTATAAAATTGAAAACCTATACATTTAAGACCACGGAAACATTTTAAATCATACGTCCTTCACTCCCTTCCCCAGAAAACCAACCAGTAATTCTCTTTAACCTTTTCACAGCGCGTGGCGCCTGCACTCTCCGGCCGGGACTCTGTGCTGATGAGCCGCACCTGTTGGACCGTTCGGGGCATGCCAGGCCCCCGCTGAGACAGTAATTAAGAGGGACGTTGCGGTCTCACCTACCTGGGGTGTTCAACAGCCTGGACATCTTGCAGAAGTAGGAGACATACTGCTCGCAGTACTCAGCGCTGCTGGTGATGGCGCTGATCTGGTCCATGGAGGCGCTGTAGGCCAGCTGCGTCACCGAGTATTTTTCTGGGCTGTGGCCCGCCACTGTCGTCTGCATCTGCAGGTCGTGAGACACAATGGTCCACACTTTGTCCTCTGCGGGGAGAAAAATGCCACGACAATAGGCCTTTAGTATGCAAGGACATCCCCCAGCACCAGCAGATAATTGAGCTACACGTTCACCGGGGTCTTCCCTGCACAGATGTAGAACAGAGTTAGGATAGTAATTCCTAAAGTGACCACTACCTTTGTCTCACACCGAAGTTCTGCGTATAGAGACAAGGGTAGAAAAGGGATCTTTCTTATGGAAAACAAAGACATGATACCCCTGCCGATGAAAACACACAGCCTGAGGATTTGCTTGATGCTCCAACGTCAGCAGCGTTGGAAGCCAGGCCTGCTGTGTTCCGGCTCCCCCGGACCCTGAGACCCTTCGCTCCTCAGGGGGAACCGCATTTTGCTCCTTCCTAAGCTACCTCAGCTCTCGCAGCCTTTGGACCTCTGTGCATGCCGTGTGCTCTAATCAGGATATGAGTCCTCAACCCATCAACAAGCGTTCGTTTTAACCTGACCTTTCTGGCGAAATGAGACACTGCGTTCTAGGTCACTGAAGTGCTCCACGCAGATGAGATACGGCCCGTGAGTAATCATCTTGGCGTTCTGGGCCCTGAGAATTTCCATGGGTGAAAAAGGGAGGCAGATAAAGACTGATGTGGCCAAATTAAAATCTGACACACGTCTGAACCGGAAGCGTTGCTCTGAGGCCCTGATTCTGACACTCTGTTCAAAGCCCTCTCAGGCGCTCGGTTTCGCTCAGAGTACAAACCTCGGTCTTACAACAGCTGCAGGCCCTCCCTGCTCCGACCCCGCCTTCGGGCTCCTCCCTCTCGCCCTGCTAAGCTTTCCCGGCCCCTCTGGGTCCAGCCACACTGACCTCTGTGCCCTCCCTCCTCTAACACTGCAGGCAGGTCCCTTCTAGAGCCTTTGCATGCGGTCTTTCTTCTGCCTAGGGCTGTCCTTCGTCCTTCCTCGACGTCCTCCAGGCCGTTCCTGCTTCTCCCCGACCTTTGGCCCAATCGACCTTCCCTCTGCTGGGTCCCTCCCAGCCCCGCCCACGCGCCAGCGGCTCTCCAGCTAGTCCTCTCTGGAGCATTTGTCTCTGACTTAATGCACAGTTTAATTAGTGCTTTGCGTTTGTCTTCCTGCATTAGAAGGAAAGAGCGGGGATTGTTTTCAACGCTGTATGCACAGTGCTTAGATTAGTGTGTACAGTGATTGGTATGTACAAGGCCTTAAAAAATATTAGTTGAATAGAATGAATTAACAAAAATTAAACGATACACATCCTGGATATAGGAACTCCTTAAAATCACGGCGGTTCGAGTCTGGCCCTCGAACCATCATGGTCCCCATAGATTCTAGACAAGCCTCTTGGACCCCTCTAAGCAATACCGTCCCCTTATCTGTGACAATGTGTCTCTATAACACTTCCCAGTGAAAACCAATGATGACAAATGCCGTCATGGTACCCCCTGTACTAATGTATTTTCTAAAGGATAATTATTTTTTCCAGCTTTCTGTCTGGCCTGCTCAGAACTGCCTTCCTTGAGCTCCTCTGACACAGCAAAGAAACAATAATATATTTTAGTAATTCTGTCACTTTCTGACATGGTTCTGAAAACAAACTGATAGTCATTTATACTCAGGCCTAGAGATTTACCACCACCTAATTAAAGATCCATTCGTTAAATTAGGTTAATTGTATCTCTTTTCTATTACAATCAGCCTTTAGCATAGAATCCTCCAATTCTCAAATTTTACTTCTTTTGTCGTTTTTTAAAAATCCTTACCAGTAACCTTGCCCTGTGGCACTATTTCAGAGCTCTCCTTAACTCCGAACGGAATAGCATTATAATCCGACCCTTCTTTAAATGGTAATACCCACCTTTTTACTCTCCACAAAATAATGTTCATAAAGGGAAACATTAACTGCACACGTAAAACAAAAATGGTCTTCCATTATGTTCTCTCAATAATTGTAAAGACATTAATTTGTTCATATTGACGAGTTTCTAATATTTTGGTCCTAGCGACTGCTTGGCCCGAAGCTCGGCTCCCATTTCCGCCCCACACACGTCTCAGTCCCCGCCCCTGTGAGCTCTCCCCCTTACGCAGCTGGCCCTCGGGCAGCGAGGGGGTTAGGGGTGTCCACCCCTGTGCGGTCTCGAACCTGCGTATAACTTCTGAAGCCCCGCCCCCCAGGCTTAACTACTAATGGCCTACTGTTGACTGGAAGTCTCGCTGGTAACATAGAACACTGACTATCACGTATTGTGTATATGTGTTATATATTCTTAACAATAAAGTAAGCTAGAGAATAGAAAGTGTTGTTAAAAATCATATATAAGAGAAAATACAGTTCCAGTGTTTGTTGAAAAAATTCCACGTGTAAGTGAACCCACGCAGTTCAAACCCTCGTTAGTCAAGAACCACTATACTTGCTTTGTAGCCCGCTCACTCATTCGTCATGGAGTCCCTGGTCTACGACAGATGGGGATCTAGGCACTGGGGAAACCAGAGAGAAAACAGCATTTGCGAATGTTTGCAGCTTACATTCTTACATTCTAGGGGAACTGAACACAAGCAAAAATTAAAGTTCTATATAGATATAGAACTTCACATCTATAACTACATAGAGAACTTAGAACTTTATATTTATATGTACACATACATACATACCTAAACACACACACACACACACACACACACACACACACACACAGGGTCCAGCAGAAGTAACACCTGCTTGAGTGTGGCTGGTAGGGTAATAATATGGGTGTAATAATTTATAGTTCTAATTTGAACATTTCATCTAAAATGTCCTATGGTGTGCCTGAGTGTGATATTGTTATGTTACAGAATTACATGCTTATCATTTTGTAATAGAAGTTTATGTAGTAAAAAAGGGGCGTTATTTGTGCTGGGCCCTGTATATTTAGCCAGTGGTAATGGTGAGGAGAAAAACGAAATCAGGGGAAGGAGGAACGGGCCATATGTATGGGGCCTGCATTTTTAAACACAGAAGAAATGTCAAATTTAAATAAATAAGGTCATTACCCAGCAAGGCATGTGACTGGGGAAAAGGACTTCAGACAGAGGGAATGCAAATGCCAATGTTCTAACTCTGGAATATTCCTGGTATCAGTCAGGTGTAGGAGGAGGTACGTGGGTGAGGAAGGAAAGGGCAGCAAGTGTTGGGGGGCTGGCAATGAGGACAGGTGAGGCGTGACCTCAGTTAAGAGGGAGAGCTTTCAGCCATCGGCGTGGGGAGGGTCCGAGCTTTGCCTTGGTACCTGACTTACTATGCTTTGCATAAATAAAACTCTACTTTAGAAAAGTTTGAAAAAATATCCACATATCATTATAAACATTTAAAACGTTTTTGTGTCATGGCATTATAAAAAGTAACATGTAACCTCTGTGTGATGGCATTAAACAATGACTGCTGATGCATCTTGCAAATTATTTTTTAATGCCTGCATATTACACATTGCAATGATTCCTTTGGAGCCATTAAATCTTCGGTTACAAATGGATGTTAACAATCTTGCAAGTAACTAACAATCTAGAAGAAAGGATGTGGTTATGTTAGATAAATTTTTATTTTCCAGTATCATAGTGGAAAAATTAAGAATCTTATTCCCACATTCACAGTGTGCTTATATAATATGCATTATCAGACATGTGTGTAATGTAAATAGAAACTACCGGGTATGCCAAATTCTAAGTTTCTGTCACGATTCCATTTTCATAAAGAAGCAAAGGACAAAGCAGTATATTTCAAATACTCTTTGGATTGGCGTGTTATGAAAGTGCCCTTTGTGTTATGAAAGTGATGTGTTACTGAGAGCTTGGTATCTATACCATGCCATCACCTATTTAAACATTGTCACATTGTATATTGTTTTAAATTCAGCTGATTAATGCGTTTCAAATCCTGGGCCACAAGTGGGACATGCTGTGACTGCGTCCCCGTCCTTGGCACTAATGAAGGGGGCCTTCTAGATTACCCAGTTTAGCTGTGTCGGCATGAGTGCATTAGAAAGGCCCTCTGCTGCCTGTACCAGTGACTCCATGTCTTTATTCTGTCTGTAACTGTCAAGTAACTCACTTCACGAGAGCTCAATACCTTGCATGGCTGGAGTTCTGACCAGCAACTGATAAAGCCAGAAAATGGCCAGGGGGAAAAAGCAAAGACTAACTCCTCCCAGGATGTAACTAGTATTTGATCATGTATATGCTGTTATTTGACTCTTCTTCATGTTATTCACATACAATCAGAAGTTTTCATTATAGTGCAGGTCTATGTATAGGGTATGAGGTCTGTCCAGAAGGTATCCAGCCATTTTAATATGAAAAATAAGAGACATTTATTGAACAAGACATAAGGTACAAGAAACATTGTACACATGACAATGACACCTCAGTCCCCTTCAGAATAGGCACCTTGGGCCCTCACACAGTTCTCCCAATCACCATCAGCTTCCCTGTTGTATTTTCCTGAATCTCATCGAGGGTTTGAAATCTCTTCCCTTTCAAAGGTGATTTTAGTTCTGGCAAAAGCCAGGAGTCACAGGGTGCCAAACCTGGGCTGTAGGGGGGCTCAGTCACCTGGGAGGTTTGATGTTTTATAAAAAATCTCTGTACGAAACGTGATGCATGAGCAGGCACCTTGTCATGATGAAGCTGCCCTTCACCAGTTGCCCAGTGCTACGGCTTTCTGAGGCATCTGAATAGTTTCCACGGAGGAATGTTCAAGCTTAATACAATATTTGATGCAGATTCATTGCTCTACTTGGGCGTCTATCGTCCCCAGTGACTAGTACGGTGAAATCGTCATTGTTCACGCGCGGACATCCCAGTCCACCCTCACTGGCTGCCAGGTTACATAGACATTGCACAAACCATTGTTGTTACATTAACAATGGCTGGGCTTTTTCTGGACAGACCTCATATTTTAACACAAGGCCAATCTGAGCTGAGTCCAGTAGGAAAATGTTTTGTGTCCTATACATCTGTACATGCATTTAAGTGTT